AGGAATTGTCCCTACACAGGAATGATTTCATGGTGAAGGCCTGCCCTGTCTTTTCCAAGGTGCTCTGAAGCTGTTACACTTTATGGAATGTGCTTGTGCTAAAGCTACTCTTCTTAGGTCTCCAAAGCATAGAATAATTTGGGTGGTCACCTAGCTGTGTTACGTTGCTTACTACATTGCAGGCTCATCTCGCCACCGTCCTGCATGTTACAGGGTGATTCTAGCAAGGGTTATAAAGGAGGAATATAATGAGAATGAATTGATGTGTTGATACTGAGCTTTGAGAGAACAGTAAATAATTCGTAGTACTGACTTTCAAAAAAAGTTTTATGTTGACACTGGCACAAATTCAGTTTAGTCAGAGTTATGCTTTAATAGCTTACTAGTCAAGCCCACAAAGTAGTCCTGTGTTTTGTTTCATCCTTCAAAAATAACTTTGACATCTCGACTATGTGGCTATTCCTTGAGGCTCAATAATAGGGGGAGTTAATACTATTCAAGCCTTCTTGACAATTGCAAATGCAGCTGAAGGAGTTCATTTTATGTGCAAAATCAATACTGCAAGGACCTTCTATCTGTATTCTCTGACCCATTTGATAGTAAATAATTTCCTTTGTGCCATTAATGACGATTAAACTGTAGAAAGCCTAAACATTTTCTGTAGTTCATGTAAGTTGTAATATTAGCTCTACAATTGTTTTATAACTTAAAGCAAACTTTTATTAATTCAAATTGCATTATATTTTATTCATGAGCGTTTCACTGTGTTTACGCTAATACACAAACATTTCTGCAGCAATGCTATGCTGCATTTTGGTAATTTCAGTTGTAGCCATGTAGTGAACTTAGGTTGTGAAATTATTGGCAGTTTTGGATCTCCTTTTTTGAGGATAGTTGTTTTAATTTTTGATTCCTTGAAATCAGAAGATTTGGCTTAGTGTCGCCATTCAGACCCACAGACCCATATCAGAGCTGTGTTATACTCGGTACTGCACAAAGGAGGATTGCTCGAGAGAAATCTGAAACAGAACAAAAGAGGGAGAGAAGAGGCTGTTGAATCATTGGCTAGGACTTGCCTTTATCAGCAGTGTCCTCAAATAATTGAGAAAATGACTTAATATTATGTTAGCAGTTGTCTGACTTTTTTGAACAGGAGTCTGCATTGGACAGCAGTTTGCCTCCACAGTTCCCGCCCTGGTTAACTGCAATGGCCGTAGGAGTGGACGACGTCTCCCACCTGCTGAAGGTGTTGCAGCGTTCAGTGTGAGCTTCCCTGTAATGTCTGATCCCCAGAAATGATGTAATTTCTGAAGATGCATTTAGGTTTTTTTGAACTACTTTTCTCGTAGTACCATTTAGTACTTAGTGCCTGATACAAATACTCCTCCTGTATGATTGATCAGAAAATCTTTTATAGAGATTATGGTTTTAGGTTGGGCACATAAAATGCTCTTTTTATTATAAATAGAACGCTAGTAGTCTTGACTAAACCTGTGTACTGGGCGCAGGTGCCCAGGCGCTGGCAGGGGGGGCTGCAGGGCGGCCTCTGTGAGGAGAGGCCGGGGCTGCCCCGCGGCGGACAAAGCCGGTTCCAGCCGGCTCCAACCGCAGAGCACGGCTGAGCCCCCCAGCCACGGTGGGGGCACATCTGGGAAAAGTATTTAAGAAAGGGCAAAACACCCAACAGAGAGAGGAGGAGGGAACCAAAAGGAGTGAGAAGCAGCAGAGGGAATGCTAAGGAGCAGCTCCATGACGCTGGAGCAGATCTTCATGGCACCCGTAAGGAGCCCACACTGGAGCAGGTGGAGAGTTACTGAAGGAACTGCAGCCTGTGGAGAGCCCATGATGAGGCACATACATATATTTTTTTTTTTTCCTGAAGTATTGCAGCCCGTGGGAGAATGACCATACCAGAGCAGGGGAAATATGTGAGTAGGTAGGAGCTGCAGAGAGGAGCTGTTATAGACCAACCATAGCTGCCCCTGCCCTCTAATCCCTGCGCTGCTCAGGGTGGGAGGTGGAGAAGTCTGGAGTGAAGGAGTAAAGCTCAGCTTGGGAGAGAGGGGGGAAAGGTGTTGTTTTAATGTTTGTCTGTTTCTTACTACCTGAATCTATTTTAATTGACAGTAAATCAAATTAATTTTCCCCAAGTCAAGTCTGTTTTGCTTGCAGCGGTAATTGGTAAGCAATCTCCCTGCCTTTATCACGACCCATGAGCGTTCTCATCCTATTTCCCCCCTGTCCCGTTGAGGAGGGGGAGTGAGCAAGCAGCTGCAGGGGCAGTTTGGCCCCTAGGTTGTGGTAGGTTAACCTTGGCTGTTCTTTTAATTTTCATTCTCTAGGCTTGTAGATCTGCTGAGGTTGAATACTGGAGGAAAGAAGGTTCAGCACCCTGATTCTAACTCATGCCGTCGTGTTAGCTTCTGTGTTTCCTGTGCTCCTCCTCTGAAACAGCTCTTGGATAAATTCCAGAGGTTGGAATAATAGATACTGAAAAACCTGACTCTGACTGGGATGCCTCCATTAGTGTCAGGTGTTTGCATCAACTAGATCGAATCATTACGTCATTCTTATCTTAACAAACATTACAGTTTAGAAAATGTTTTGTCCTAAAGTTTTAGTGCTTGTTGAACATTACATTTTAGAGCTATAAGCAAATGCTTGAGAATGTCTAAATATTCCTGTGTAGCATGAGTGCTTTTATTGTGGGTTTGAAGAGTTTATTTTACAAAGACTTGTAAATATTGATGATAGCATAACTGAACGTTCCATTCATAGTCTAATGGCAGTTTTTCAGTAGATTTGTCATAGTTGTATTTAAATCCAGCCCCTTTTTCCCCCATCTTGAGCCTAGAAATTGAAGTAATAACTTGGCTGGTCTTTGTATAACAACTCTACTGCAAAAAGTTGCTTTTATGAAAATAGTTTGTCAGAACATCATATAGGATCTAACCATCTGCAAATTAAAATATTAACTGAAAATAACACAAACTGGTACCATAAGAAATCAAAATGCCAATGTTAATCTATACGATCTTGATAGCACGTGTTTCTTCTTAATTTAATGCCTACACTTTTTTACTTTGCAGTATGATCTTACGTAACCTGATAAAATGTCTACAGATCAAATTGTTGGGCTTTGAGGACTTAGACAAAAGGATGACTCACTGGTGTTTCCTAGTTTTTACGTATTTTTTTGTTTATTCCTTTCCCTATTTGGGATGTAATCTTCAAAATGGTTAAAAATGTGGATCAAGTAAGTTGCTTCTAGCTTTACTAATATTTGTAATGATTTGTCCTTTAAATATTAGTCAAATATGCTATTTCGGTTGATTTATGCTGTATGTTCAAAGAACCTGCTAATTTGGGAAAAGTATCAGTATACATGGCACCACCTGCAAAATGTTTTCTTCCTAAAATACCTACATTTTCAAGCAGTGAAGCAGAAGGTTTTATGCAGTGGCATTAATGTTGAGAAAGTATGATTGATGATGGTCTTGTCAGTTGAAATTCATTTCAGGTGTTGTGTTCCCAGTGTTAACTTAAAGTAAATCACTGTAACATAAATGGATGATTTTTATAATATGCACATACAAGGTTAGTAAGGTAATAACTTTGGCAGTGTGGGGTAAAATGTGATTACGGTGACTTTGTCCTCTGAATCTGTCAGATGAAAGTTTGCTGTGAGAGTTTTGCAGAGAAGCAGCTGGTCTTCATTTCTGAGTAGTAGTATATTGTAAGGTCATTGTCTAAGGCACAGGTCTACTGAATAAAATGGTGGTATTTTGAGTCGGAGAAGCGAAATCAAGGGAAGTGACTTTGAGTGTGTGCTTGTGTGTCAGAGAGGACTCAAGCCTGTATGTAGAATGGTTACCTGCAAGACGGGAAACTCACTGGACTTTTCTTTCCGGACCTTCTTCTTGGCGTGGCCCCTTAATTGTCCCATTGTTGGCTATTTTCTGAAATCCATCCTTCAGTATTTTATCTCCTCTACTAATTCAAGTATATGTGTTTCTTTTAGAGACTACATAGATTGCTAGCATAAAGTAATTATAAGTAATATTAAGAACCTAAATGAAATTTGACTGTATTCAGTATTTTGTCTTTCTATTTCTTCTATCTACTACAAAGTATAAGATTTTGTTAAGTACTAAATTTGCAGCATAAACAATTGCTGTGGTCTCTGCATGGTCCTGTTCAGTTTGATTTATATGGAAATACTTCCATCTTCAAATCAACGTAGGTGTTTCATGATAGTAAAACTAACACAGCAAGATGTACAGGATTTGAAGCATGTGGAAGGCTTGCTTAACTGTTGAGATGTTCCCCAAATTTCAGAAGAACTATTGGAATAGAATATATTAGCAGGAAGTAGAATTCTATTTCTGTGTTGTGTGATAGATGCGATAACCTGGAAATGCATCAGTTAATACAGTACCTGTTTAATGTCATGTGACAAAAATTTATTAACATGCTGGTAACAGTAATTTGAGAATGGTGCACTATAGTCAATAAGAAAGAACAGTAATGGCACATGCGGTTGATAAGTAAACAGAAGTCTGTATTTCAGGATGACACTGTGTTAGAAATTTGAGGTTTTTCCTGGTTCTTTTCTGATGGCTTTCTGTGACCCATAGACAGTTGCAAAGTGATAGCTGTAGTAGTATCTATCTGGAGTTGGTTTACACCAGAGTTAATGACAAATTATTTCGTCAACTGTGTTCTGGCTTTTTCTTGGAGAAAACTAGTTGAATTTCTGGAAGTTAACTGATAAGTGATCTAGCTGATGTTTACTGTGCACCACCAATGGAGCAGTGACACAGGGAGCCATCCAAACTGCCAGTGAAGATGTACCTAGTGTGTTTCTCAGACTTCCAGTGTTTCACTGTGGAATGAGACTGATTTGTGTGTGCAATTGTTTCCTGGGGAAACTTGATTCATATATCTCAATAATGCTAGCTGAGTCCCTTCTGTCATAGTGGGGACTTGGATCTCCCACCTGTCTATACATTAATAGAGGTTCATTATTGAGATCCAAGTTTCAACCACTTACTAGTTTTATGTGTGGTTCAAGAGACACAATTTACCTACCATTGCCATTTACAGTAAATCATAAACTTCCCTTGAAATGAATATATTGAATCTTGCCTACAGTGTTGCAGGATTCTGTAAAGGAGCATAAATCTTAGATGTGCTTTGTCTAAACTAGTTCTTTCAAGTGATGTAGTTGCTTTTAGAACACAACAGTTATTCACTGGGCTTAATAAATGGATTCATAAATTAATGATTGTTGAAAAGCAACATTGCTGCCTCATTGACACTTTTGAAGAAACACGGTCAAATCCTGACAGTTACATATTTATAACATTTTTAAAGAGTGTGCCACTTTTGTCCTAACTTTCAAATTGTTTATGACAAACTTTGCAAGTATTTATGCTAAATTTGCAATTCCTGTAGAATATAAATAATACACTTGTTCTTGCTTGCCTCTTTGTCTAATCGCTCTGGTAACTCACTTCATCACTTCTGTTAGACAAATTAAAATTTCTTCTATTTGAAAGCTCTGTGGAGTACATGTCCTTGCCCAGTTCTTAAAATTGGACTTTTTCTTGCTCCAACTCATCCTTTCTGCTAATCTCAAGCCTTGTGTGTCGAAAGAAATGTGGGGGCTTTGGGGGTTCTCCCCCCAGTTTCTTCATTACACTTTGGAGTCACCACCTTGCGTTTGCTTTTCAAAGTGATTCTTTTCTTGCTTTGCTCCCTTTCTAAAAGCTGTTTTGGAAGTAAAGGGGAGAGGAACTTTTTGAAAACTTTGCAGTGTAATCCTAAAAAATTCTATATGATGGAAAAATCGCAAACAATGCAAGAGTAAATGCACCTGCATTCACCATGGTGATTTTTCATTATCTCCATTGTCTTTAACCCTTGCTTCTCATAATCCTTGGTTAGATGTTAAATTCTGGCTAGCATATTGCATATTTTTATAAACCTACTCTACAGATATCAAAAAAGTTGCACCTTGTTTAGAAATAATAAATATTTTATAGCATACTACATGCTTGTAGGACTTGCTGTTGTGAGTAGTCACAATGAAATTGGTAGGTCTTGTAGCTGTTGAAAGCAACGGGTACAGCAGTGAGCGTCAGATTAAGCATTCAGGAAAGAACTGAAGTCATGCAAGTTATTTTGAGACCTAAATTAAGCTGTAGTAACTTAAGTTATGGTTGCAGTTTGAATTAACAATTTGGATTAGCAGCAAAGAAGGCTGTGAAAAA